AAGAAAAAGCTGACGACTTTGATATCACAATATATAAAGTTCCTTTCCTTTTTGATTCCATTGCACCGTATATTTTTANCTTGTTAAGCTTAAATCTATTATTAATTCATGGAAAAGAAGATCTATTACACCTATTGGTAAAATACATGTCATAAAGTCATTAATGGTATCCCAATTTAATCACTTGTTTATTTCTTTACCAAATCCCAGTGACAAATTTCTTCATAAACTCAATTGTATCCTTTATGCATTTCTTTGGAATGGTAAGGTTGATTAAATAAAGAGAGATGTTGTTGGTAAAAATTATAGAGATGGAGGTCTTAAGATGGTACACTTATTGTCATTTATAGAATCTTTAGAATTAAGTTGGATAAGGAGGCTTCTCCAAAAACAAGGCAAATGGCAGGAGATATTAAAAACATATATCAATATTGATCTTCTCTTTAACTGTGGTAATAAATATGTATCTATATGCCAAAATACAAGTACAAATTTATTCTGGAAAGATGTATTTAAAGCATGGAGTAGACTTTCTTATAAGGAAGATCTTGTAAGGGAAAAGGGACAATCGTTTTTAAAATTGCCTTTATGGTATAATAAAAGTTTAACTATAAATCAAAAGTGTGTATTTTATCCTGAATGGTATAGATGTGGAATTACTATTTTTAATGATTTGATAAAAAAAATCCCCAACACATACATTTTATACGCATGATGAATTTAATAACAAATACAATATAAACACAAACTTTCTGCAGTATTATGGTATCCTGTCAGCTCTTAGACGATATATTAATCAAAACAATATTGGGCATAATACCACTGTATCCAATGATTCCCCTTAATTGGATTTTTTTTTACAAAAACACCAAAGGAGCTAATGACTTTTATGTAATACCTTCGGAAAATAAGATTATTCCAACTGGTAGGAAGAAATGGGGAGAAATATTTGACATTAGGGACAACAAATGGGAGAAATATATCAAATTCCATTTCGCACAACTACTAATACAAAACTCCAGTGGCTCCAAGTAAGAATTCTCCGTCATATTTTGACAACAAATATATATCTATGCAAAGCCGGCCTCTCTAATAATCCTTTGGTTGCAGTTTAAAGCCGAAAGCACCTTACTTACAATTAATACAGAAGATTATCTTATAATCTTATTCTAAACATAAAGTTTGTTTATTATTGAGCTGCAATGCAAAAACTAGTTTCTCATTTTTCTTCCTCTTTCTGTTGACTTTCTCCTTTTTTCATTGCTATTTTTTCCCTCTTCTTCTTTTCTATTCTCTCTCTCTCTCTGTCCTCATAAAGGCAATATATGTGTACATGGGTACCATTACATGAACTTGTGTCTTAGTAAGTAAGAGTTTATATGAGTCGTGTGAGGTCTGAATATATAATATGAATTGTTTGAATGTAACTATACCATATATTGCAAAAAAATCTTGAATAAAAAGAAAACTACAAAAACAAAAGTTCCTTTCCTTTCGTGTACCAACCTCTCTATCTAATGTGTACATGTAACAGTTAAATGACCATGCGCTTTGTGTAAGGGTTTTCTTGATGGACTAATGAACTGCTTAGCCAGGGTGTTCTCCACAAAAGCTTCAATCTACACTGTAGAGTTTCCAAAGTTGTGTAGATGACCTGATGCCCAGCCATGGTATTGCTATGCCTACTACTGTTTATTAAAAGAGTCTAAAGTCGATGTTCACCTATGTACTTTCCTTTTTATTTGACAAGAGGCACTTGGGCTAGTGCTTGGAGAACGAACATAGTTTCGCCTCCGCATTTGATAGGTGTTCCTACTCTCGTTCCTATTCGTTTGGGATGTCCTTGGTTCCTGGGATTGTTTTGTTTTCATTTTGACTTTTTGTCCCATTTGTAGAGGGTTAACTGAACACATTCGATTTATTTTTATTTTTAACATATATTTTATCATCTTTAAAAAGCAGAGGGAACAGGCACAAGTTAAACATTATAAAAACTAGGAATGATATTGCTTTACAATTGTCATTTCATGTTTAATCTGATAAATAGTATCAGTAAGACCGGAAGGCAATTTTTATACGAATTCAAAACTTAATTGACGTATTGCAGATGTTAATTTGTTTGGAAATGTGTGAAAGATACGTGTACGTTTCATATCTTTACTTAACAGTCCCCACCTGGCCGTGTCATATCTGCTGAGAAACTGCAGGCTAGAAACAGATATTGCCTTAACATCTGAACGTGCCAGTAACCCACATTGCAATAATCTGTATAACACACATTCAAAATAATCACTGAAAAAACGAAGTAAGGACAAAGGGACAAATGAATTTTAAAAGTTAGTTCCCCGATGCAGAATGTTAAGCAGATATTTACAGTTACTGCATCATATGGTCATTTCGTTTACTTAGGACTCGTTAGTGATATTTGGGTCAAAAAATGAAAACAAATGTCAAAAGTGTTCCGAAACATGTACTCAAGTAGGTCATAAGTTATGTCCTATCATTTCCATGTTAAATATGGTATCTTGTTCTGTATCATTTTTCACTCGTGTTGTTGCATATGGAACACTGCATTACTCCTTTTTACTTTTAGTTGTGTTGGTACAATGTGGAACATTGAATATAAGTCACCTCATACTTTAAGATGTGTTGGTACAGGTTGCACACTGAGTTGGAGTCCCGTTACATTGCTGGTGCTTGATAATGTGTGGTACTATCAATCTACATGTTCTTTTTCAAAAGACGAAATTAAGAGGCTTGTGAAAAGTAGACTGAAGGATCAATTTATACAGAAATGGTTTGATAATATTCTTAACTCCTCTAGAGGACAAACATATTCAATATTAAAGACAAAGTTTGAACAAGAAAAATATTTAATTAAACTTAATACAAATGATAGGAAAATAATGTGTAAATTCCGTTCTTGCAATATGCATTTACCCATAGAAAAAGGAAGATGGTTAGGTATTCCTCGTCAAGAAAGAACCTGTACATTATGTAATTTGTACATTGGAGATGAATTTCATTACTTATTTATATGTGAAAGTGTTTTAGTTAAATGTCTAAGAGAGAAATATATACCAAAATATTATTTCACTTATCCAAGTCAATTAAAAATGCAAGGATTGTTTAATATATTTAATGTAAAAATTCACACAAAACTTTGTAAATTCATAGAAAAGCTTGAAAAAATATTAACTTAATTTCTGTACTATTTGTGTACTTCTATATGTATCTATGCTGTGTACAATGTTGTAATTGTGTACATCACACGCCATGTATCATACTTACTATATGTATGTGACCTCTTGTTACACACGTAAGTGTGTCGGAGTGAATAAATAAAAACTTAAACTTAAACTTAAATAAACATTCGATACCAGCCCGCCACAGTTTTGTACATGCTGTCATATGAATTAGTCACAAACTCCGAAATTTGATTTAAACTTAAGAAAATGCTCAGCTCCTGTAAAAATATGCGTCCTTTGTAACTTATTATTAAATGATTTTTAACCCGCTTTTCATTTTCAAATGTCTTTATTCACCTCTGTGTGAATTTGCCATCAGAGCAACAGAGATAAGAATTAGAATTGTCAAATGAACTCTTACAATGAAGGGGGAAATGGTGGAAATGCAAGACCTTTAAAATGGGCCTTTGTACCGTAACACATTTAAGTATAGACCAGTCTTATTTCAGCCGGGTATGATATAAGACTTGATTGCCATTCTCTGAGTCGAAGCCATAAAGCAGTCTATTATGACCCCGTAATACACATATAAAGGGTGAGTTAGGGCTAGACGGGTCGACAACCCGTACTTGTGGGAGTCAATAGTCATACATCACTTTTATTTTATATTTATCCTACACGAAAACTTAGGGTGTCCTTTGTATTTAAAAATGACCTGAGATGGTATTAGTCCCTTGTATAGGTCAGCGATGGCAGTACAGATATCTAACACTTACGAAACGTTCACTATTCTTTATAACGTTAAACATTGAAGGTGTTTACTGTGTAGTTATATATACATTAATCAGATTTCCATCATGACTAATGCAGTATTAGGTAAGAAGATACACATGGTTTCGTTAGTGTTAATGCTGTCTAAGTGTCTACTGGATTCCTGTTACTTTTGAGCTAGTTCTATTTATAGTGTAGGACTTCATAGACGTCATTTCAATTTGTAATATACAGTACTGCAATAATAAACAACAATATATATGTATATTTGCAACACCTTCATACCTATACAAATTCACATTTTTCTTTTCAAATTTATTCAAAATGAATTTTAAAATAAAGTAACAACAAGCTAATTCTGATTTTAAAAAGTCATCTTTTTCTGATTTCATGGTGTGTAGCATGTTGATAGTCTTAATGCTGGTTTTTACCTGGAAATACCAGCTCCTCGGCATGAGGTAGGATTTTGTAATTCTTCTCTGCAACTCGCAAGGTTGTTCAGAATCAAATATCTACTCGACGGAAAACAAAAAAGACAACACGAACTGAGGAGACACCAAAACAGGAAAATAAACATCATGAAACTCCACAATAAATAAACAGAAACGATATCAGTGGTTAGAACAATTGAGACCCTTTGTAAAAACGAACAAATATGTTTAATTGTACAGATTATTATACTTATGGAATGATACAGTTCAGGCCTTTGGTATTTGTTATCTGACCAACCAGTTTATATCACATATACATCTGTTCATTAAATAGAAAAAATATTCCGTGTCGTTATATCTATACTTGACCCGCTAGTCTTGTGAAAAGACAACTAAATTTACCTGAAATATACTTTTTATTAAATGACATTTCGTAAAACAAAAAACTCAAATGTGGCAAATACTAAAACATGGCCTGGTCTGCAAGGCCATGTCTCATTTGTCTGATATCTTAATATCTAAATCTAATTATGTTTTTAACATCTTTACTGCATAAAAGTATTGCCGATGAAAAATATTAAAATAACTTTATACTTTTGTTTTTTTACAGAGATTTGCGGTTCAACACAATACGAGACATTCCATCCGGGTCATTTATAGGACTGAATAGCTTAAGCACATTGTAAGTAGAATTCTAGTTTCAAAACAGATTGGTTGATAATGAACTGTTTTCAGTCTGTAGAAATTTTTGAAATCTCTGAAAGAGAAAGTTTCCGATAATGTCGAACGGGAAAATTTACTATTTCATATTATTCAAGTTTCAAAGCAAGTTTGGTTGCCAATGAACTGTTTTCTATCAGTAGAAACTTTAAACCTTTGAAATCTCTACGAGAGAGTATTTCCAGTGATGTCGAATTGGGACGCGAACTGTTTAACAATTAAAAATAAGAGATTGAAAAAAAGTTATTACAAAGTAACAATATTTAACAAATTGAGGGTTTGAGACTGGGGAAGTGAGACATGATAAAATACGCTCTCCACATTGATATCGATTAACATGGACAAGCCATTGATATTTTGATTTATTAAACATGGTATTTCAGACTTTTAAATAACAACGCCATTCAAAGATTATTGGACGGTGCATTTGATGGACTTCCAGAACTGAAATATCTGTAAGTATCCAAAACAACGACATTCTATAGATGGAATACGGTACAGTATTTAAGTACATCCAATCCGATATTTGTGGGGCCTCAATTTTTTTAAGAAAAGTAAATGCGAATTGGACTTTTTATGTAATCTCAGGTAATGTTTTCTAAATTCCTTACATGTATAAACCAATGTTCCAAACACAACATAAACACAACAAAACACAATAATGAACAATGCATTCTTACTAGCATAAACTGTCCCTCCTACTGAAGTCTCGTTGGCATAAAATGTCCCTCCTACTGAAGTCTCGTTGGCATTAAATGTTCCTCCTACTGAAGTCTCGTTGGCATAAAATGTACTCCTACTGAAGTCTCGTTGGCATAAAATGTCTTCCTACTGAAGTCTCGTGGGCATTAAATGTTCCTCCTACTGAAGTCTCGTTGGCATTAAATGTCCCTCCTACAGAAGTCTCGTTGGCATAAACTGTCCCTCCTACTGAAGTCTCGTGGGCATAAAATGTCCTCCTACTGAAGTCTCGGTGGCATAAAATGCCCCTCCTACTGAAGGCTCGTTGGCATAAACTGTCCCTCCTACTGAAGTCTCGTTGGCATAAAATGTCTTCCTACTGAAGTCTCGTTGGCATTAAATGTTCCTCCTACTGAAGTCTCGTTGGCATTAAATGTCCCTCCTACTGAAGTCTCGTTGGCATAAACTGTCCCTCCTACTGAAGTCTCGTTGGCATTAAATGTCCTCCTACTGAAGTCTCGTTGGCATTAAATGTCCCTCCTACAGAAGTCTCGTTGGCATAATATGCTCCACTTATTTGAATAAGATGTACATGTCCCACCCCATGAGTATTACTGTCATGTTACCTAAACAACAGTTCCTTTATTAATGCATTTTAAAGCACAGTACAATGACGTAAGAAATAGGTCGGTAGTATCTGACGTTTGTTCTCTTTTGTATCTGTCTGAAAGATGGCTCCTTCTGTTATGACCAAAACTCATTCATCAAACTTGTTTATTTTTATGGAAAATTTAAAAAAAAAAAAAAGCGCCACCTTTTTCTTGTTGCTAGACTGGCTGAAATACATTTATAAATCATAATCATTTGGTGAAAGTTAAATATTTTCCTTCATCAAATGACCTCAGAATAGACACAAAAGTAGCAATCAGATTTCCATTTGTTTTTGCTAATTTACGAAACTAAATTTGCCTCCATATATTCAATTTTATTATTGCATATATTGATACATCAATTAGGGTAGCCTTATCCAAAAAGGCAGCTTTTGTTAATGATAATCATTAGAAGTTTTAAACGTTTATATTAATATCTTTTATTCACCCTGTATAAAGTTAAAACATAATAAAGCAGCCAAAGTTAAAAACACAAATGTTTTACTAGTTCGATGTGTAACTTTTGGCCCTATAATCCCCTCACTTCTGTAGTCGAAGTTCCATCTAAATCACATTGGTCTTTGTAAAGACGCGATAAAAGATGTCATATATTTTCAAGTAATCTTATCAAAAATAACCATATCCAGGGAATTAAATATCTAGCAAAATTGAATCTGCAAGGATTAGATATCTTAAGGCAAAGCTAGTTTTGCTGCTTGTTTTAAGTGCTATAAGTGAAAGTCTACTAAATGTACACGTGTCGCATATTCTAGCCAATGAACAATTTCCTCACTCAATCCCCTCCGCCCCCTGACCCCTCCTTTACCACCATCACCACCACCACCACAGATAAATAAATAAATACAAACTCATTAATATATAGGAATGATAAGTGACTGTTTTTTAAGAGATATGTTGATGTTTGAAATCAATTTTCTTGTGTTAATTCATCTGGGTTTTTTGTGTATTTTTACCTGACATGCTATAACTTCGAGGGCAACGACAGTTGAACGAGATCAAACCCCAGAAGATATATATATATATATATATATATACTCAGTAAGATAAGCATATGTGTATGTCATTGTATAATAACATGAATCGGGCGGGAGTTGCACAATATTAAACCTCAGCAAAAAAAGTTGATATGGTTGACATTTAATTAATAAACACGAGAATTGAGCGAGACTTGAACGAGGTAAAACTTGAGAAGACACTTAACTAGATATAATGACATCGAATAACTCCAGAGATGGTCGAAAGTTTAACTAAATAAAACCTCGGAAATAATATTTGATGAAATATATCTGATATTGTATAATCATGAGAGTTGAATTGAAGAAGATCTGACCTTGACCAAACATGAGAGTTGAACGAAAGTTAAACGAGGTAAATCCCCAGACAGACTTTCGCAAATAACAACAGGCCATATCAAGACTTCTATTATGTAAAACAAAATTAATATGTCAGTGATGATAGATGATAATATTCACGAGTAGATTAGCGTTAACCGTACGAACAGACACATTCATACTATCATTAAATCAATATGTTAGGTCACTGTGAAATAAGCTAAAGACTAAGGAAATCAACATGCAATACTGATAAAATAACAACGATGTCTGACATACATCCTGTAAGGGCAGTGTAACAGACATACATCCTGTAAGGACAGTGTAACAGATATACATCCTGTAAGGGCAGTATAACAGACATACATCCTGTAAGGGCAGTGTAACAGACATACATCCTGTAAGGACAGTGTAACAGACATAATCCTGTTCGAACAGTGTAACAGACAGACATCCTGTAAGGACAGTGTAACAGATATACATCTTGTAAGGACAGTGTAACAGACATACATCCTGTAAGGACAGTGTAACAGACATACATCCTGTTCGAACAGTGTAACAAGCATACATCCTGTAAGGACAGTGTAACAGACATACATCCTGTAAGGACAGTGTAACAGACATACATCATGTAAGGGCAGTGTAACAGACATACATCCAGTAAGGACAGTGTAACGGACATACATCATGAAAGGACAGTGTAACAGACATACGTCCTGTAAGGACAGTGTAACAGACATACATCATGTAAGGAGAGTGTAACAGACATATATCCTGTAAGGACAGTGTACCAGACAAACATCATGAAAGGACAGTGTAACAGACATACATCCTGTAAGGACAGTGTGACAGGCATACATCCTGTAAGGACAGTGTAACAGACATACATCCTGTTCGAACAGTGTAACAAGCATACATCCTGTAAGGACAGTGTAACAGACATAAATCCAGTAAGGACAGTGTAACAGACATACGTCCTGTAAGGACAGTGTAACAGACATACATCATGTAAGGAGAGTGTAACAGACATATATCCTGTAAGGACAGTGTAACAGACATACATCATGTAAACACAGTGTAACAGACATACATCCAGTAAGGACAGTGTAACAGACATACATCCTGTAAGGACATTGTAACAGACATACATCATGAAAGGACAGTGTAACAGACATACATCCTGTAAGGCCAGTGTACCAGACATACATCCTGTAAGGACAGTGTAACAGAAATACATCCTGTTCGAACAGTGTAACAAGCATACATCCTGTAAGGACAGTGTAACAAACATACATCCTGTAAGGACAGTGTAACAGACATAAATCCAGTAAGGACAGTGTAACAGACATACGTCCTGTAAGGACAGTGTAACAGACATACATCATGTAAGGAGAGTGTAACAGACATATATCCTGTAAGGACAGTGTAACAGACATACATCATGAAGGGACAGTGTAACAGACATACATCCTGTAAGGACAGTGTAACAGACAAATATCCTGTAAGGACAGTGTAACAGACATACATCATGTAAAGACAGTGTAACAGACATACATCCAGTAAGGACAGTGTAACAGACATACATTCTGTAAGGACAGTGTAACAGACATACATCCTGTAAGGACAGTGTAACAGACATACATCCTGTTTGGACAGTGTAACAGACATACATCATGTAAGGAGAGTGTAACAGACATATATCCTGTAAGGACAGTGTAACAGAGAAACATCCTGTAAGGACAGTGTAACAGACATACATCATGAAAGGACAGTAACAGACATACATCCTGTAAGGACAGTGTAACAGACACATCCTGTAAGGACAGTGTAACAGACATACATCCTGAAAGGACAGTGTAACAGACATACATCCTGTAAGGACAGTGTAACAGACATACATCCTGTTTGGACAGTGTAACAGACATACATCATGAAAGGACAGTGTAACAGACATACATCATGTAAAGACAGTGTAACAGACATACATCCTGAAAGGACAGTGTAACAGACATATATCCTGTAAGGACAGTGTAACAGACATACATCCTGTAAGGACAGTGTAAAACACATACACTCTAATGCACTACATATCGCAAACATTTTTGTATGGAGCCTTAAAATGTGATAATTGAGTAAGTTTTTTAAGTAGGCGTGTTTACTCTCACATACACCACATTTTACCGTTTAAAATTTGAATTACAGCTATGTGTGTTATGAGTTCATACACACATTTAAGATATATACGTTCCGCTATAAAACCGTTCTTTCGACATCTGGAGTTATTTATCATCAAAGTTGAAATTGATTTTGTAACATGCCTTTCGTGAAATATACATTAGCATGTAGACCATGTACTCTTAGCGTTATGGCATGTGTACTCGCTGACCCTTCGCAGAGTAATATTAACATCTAAACAGCATTCCAGCTATATGCATGTAATTAACTGTTTATACACAGGTAGCCCCTTTACGTAACTGTTTGCAAGTTTTAGAACAAATTTATTCCACACTCCAACAACTTCTGTCAAGGCCAAAGCAAACTAACTTTGTGTTGTATTTAATTTACTTAATATTGAAAATGATGAAGAAAATCAACTTTATATATCCTGAAATAAAACCTGGTTTTTGATTAGTATATAATTCAACATTTAACCTGTTACAAATATGGCGTAAATATTACAACAAATGTTTTAACTTTCATATGATTGTAGATATTTCAAAGAATTTAAAATATTTTTATTACACGGGTTTAGTCTATTGACAATGCTTAAAAAGTCTGTAAATTGCTCTTTTCTCTCTTCTATCTGGCGAAAATACAACAACCAGTGCTTTCAATTTGTGTTTTCTGTAAGCTTTTTTATTATTATGTTATGATATAGATCGTTGCACCTATATACCATGGGTGGATTATTTGGTAGATGTTGAACCTATTATTTAACCAGCTGTTGATTTCTTTTTTCAGATATTTATATAAAAATCAAATAACTTCTGTTGAAAGTAAAGCGTTTAGACATTTGAGGAAACTTGAGCAGGTGTGAGTATCTAAGATTGGAATTTATGCTTATTTCACAAAACTTTATCACATTCAAATATCACATCGGGGCCATTCGCATGGTGTTAATATCACACTTGCTGGTGACGGGTTCGCTGGGGTCATAGATCATATCGTTGTTACCATTTGTCATAAAACCCTGAGGTAGTCTTGTAAAGGTCGATGAATCTTCTACAAAAACAAAACAAACATGTTAAAATTGTAAAGTCTGGTATTGATATTAATAGTTCGGATTAAATACTCATAGTGGCATACGTTGCTGATATGATGAACGGCAAAATCCATGTTTTCGGTAACATACCCAAGGATGGTGCAAATCAAACTTTCATTTTTTTCATATCATATTTTATGTGTGTATTTTATCATGATATATATCATATCCATGCCACTAACCAAAACCACTCATAAAACTGTGTCCTGACAAACGCCTTTCCATGATAAACTGTTTTGGCTTCCTAATACCGGAAGTTGTCTACGTCTGCTAATCAGATTGCTCCCCTGCTTTACGTATGACGCATCTTCATGAGGATCTTGTGGTGAACAGGGTTTTATTTTATTAACCACTTTATCCTGCTTCCACGGAAAGTATTCAGTAATAAGCGGAAATGAGTCTAATTCAAGGAAATTAATAAATATGCAGCTACGAAAAAATGATTTACTGTATTTAAAACATCGATTTCATAACGGAAATAATTATCTTGATTGTCTTGAATCCTGAAGCTCAGTTGTAATTAGTCGCATTAAATCGTGTTAATACCTAGAACATGCACTTGATATACATGATATAAGATTTGATCGCATGTACATACCCTTCATATACGAGGCGACACGGAGCTTGTTGAAAAAGGATATACAACACAGCCAGGTGTTCATATTGCAAGCTTCATTAGACTAGTATTAGCCGTGTTCATTTAATGTTTGTGAAATGTGATTCCATTTTTTTTGTAGTTTGTGTGGTGTTTTAATAACTTTATTAATACGTTTTTTGTAGTTTGTGTGGTGTTTTAATAACTTTATTAATACGTTTTTTGTAGTTTGTGTGGTGTTTTAATAACTTTATTAATACGTTTTTTGTAGTTTGTGTGGTGTTTTAATAACTTCATTAATACGTTTTTTGTAGTTTGTGTGGTGTTTTAATAACTCAAGAATACGTTTTTTTTTGTAGTTTGTGTGTGGTTTTTGTAACTCGAGAAAGCGTTTTTTGTAGTTTGTGTGGTGTTTTCAGTACTCGAGAATACGTTTTTTTGTAGTTTGTGTGTGGTTTTTGTAACTCGAGAAAGCGTTTTTTGTAGTTTGTGTGGTGTTTTCAGTACTCGAGAATACGTTTTTTGTAGTTTGTGTGGTGTTTTCAGTACTTGAGAATACGTTTTTTGTAGTTTGTTTGGTGTGTTTGTAATTTGAAAATACGTTTTCATCTTGGTGTCGTGTTTAGGTAAAGTGATGATATCGTTGTTGTAGTTTGTGTGCTGTGTTTCTTTACGTAATGAGACCGTTTTTGTAGATTGTATGTTGTTTTTGTTATGCTATATCATCGTTTCTATAGTAGCATGCTTCCTGTTTACAATGATATTCATTTTAAAAGTGATATATCTCCCTCTTTATCTAAACAAGGATACTTCTAGACTGTTCCTGACAATTTTAAATGTATGTGTATATCTTCATGAAAATCGTTTTTAGTAGTTTCTGTTTTCGAAAAATTTATAAAAACATTGTAGCATTGTTATATGTATATAGTATAACAAGCAAACTAATGACATGACATGTCCTAACAGTAGTGTACATTGTTATATGTATATAGTATAACAAACAAACTAATGACAGGACATGTCCTAACAGTAGTGTACATTGTTATATGTATATAGTATAACAAACAAACTAATGACAGGACATGTCCTAACAGTAGTGTACATTGTTATATGTATATAGTATAACAAACAAACTAATGACAGGACATGTCCTAACAGTAGTGTACATTGTTATATGTATATAGTATAACAAACAAACTAATGACAGGACATGTCCTAACAGTAGTGTACATTGTTATATGTATATAGTATAACAAACAAACTAATGACAGGACATGTCCTAACAGTAGTGTACATTGTTATATGTATATAGTATAACAAACAAACTAATGACAGGACATGTCCTAACAGTAGTGTACATTGTTATATGTATATAGTATAACAAACAAACTAATGACAGGACATGTCCTAACAGTAGTGTACATTGTTATATGTATATAGTATAACAAACAAACTAATGACAGGACATGTCCTAACAGTAGTGTACATTGTTATATGTATATAGTATAACAAGCAAACTAATGACAGGACATGTCCTAACAGTAGTGTACATTGTTATATGTATATAGTATAACAAGCAAACTAATGACAGGACATGTCCTAACAGTAGTGTACATTGTTATATGTATATAGTATAACAAGCAAACTAATGACAGGACATGTCCTAACAGTAGTGTACATTGTTATATGTATATAGTATAACAAGCAAACTAATGACAGGACATGTCCTAACAGTAGTGTACATTGTTATATGTATATAGTATAACAAGCAAACTAATGACAGGACATGTCCTAACAGTAGTGTACATTGTTATATGTATATAGTATAACAAGCAAACTAATGACAGGACATGTCCTAACAGTAGTGTACATTGTTATATGTATATAGTATAACAAGCAAACTAATGACAGGACATGTCCTAACAGTAGTGTACATTGTTATATGTATATAGTATAACAAGCAAACTAATGACAGGACATGTCCTAACAGTAGTGTACATTGTTATATGTATATAGTATAACAAGCAAACTAATGACAGGACATGTCCTAACAGTAGTGTACATTGTTATATGTATATAGTATAACAAGCAAACTAATGACAGGACATGTCCTAACAGTAGTGTACATTGTTATATGTATATAGTATAACAAGCAAACTAATGACAGGACATGTCCTAACAGTAGTGTACATTGTTATATGTATATAGTATAACAAGCAAACTAATGACAGGACATGTCCTAACAGTAGTGTACATTGTTATATGTATATAGTATAACAAGCAAACTAATGACAGGACATGTCCTAACAGTAGTGTACATTGTTATATGTATATAGTATAACAAGCAAACTAATGACAGGACATGTCCTAACAGTAGTGTACATTGTTATATGTATATAGTATAACAAGCAAACTAATGACAGGACATGTCCTAACAGTAGTGTACATTGTTATATGTATATAGTATAACAAGCAAACTAATGACAGGACATGTCCTAACAGTAGTGTACATTGTTATATGTATATAGTATAACAAGCAAACTAATGACAGGACATGTCCTAACAGTAGTGTACATTGTTATATGTATATAGTATAACAAGCAAACTAATGACAGGACATGTCCTAACAGTAGTGTACATTGTTATATGTATATAGTATAACAAGCAAACTAATGACAGGACATGTCCTAACAGTAGTGTACATTGTTATATGTATATAGTATAACAAGCAAACTAATGACAGGACATGTCCTAACAGTAGTGTACATTGTTATATGTATATAGTATAACAAGCAAACTAATGACAGGACATGTCCTAACAGTAGTGTACATTGTTATATGTATATAGTATAACAAGCAAACTAATGACAGGACATGTCCTAACAGTAGTGTACATTGTTATATGTATATAGTATAACAAGCAAACTAATGACAGGACATGTCCTAACAGTAGTGTACATTGTTATATGTATATAGTATAACAAGCAAACTAACGACAAGACATGTCCTAACAGTAGTGTACATTGTTATATGTATATAGTATAACAAACAAACTAACGACAGGACATGTCCTAACAGTAGTGTAACATGAGCTTTTCAATTGCACCTGCTTGTAAAAAGTATTATCTGGAATTTGACACCTGTCTGCCGACCCATCAATCAAGTTCAATGTTAAAGTTTCTTTTACAGCCGCTGGCTTATCTTCTCAATGCAAAACACCTTTTTCTCAAATATATCTTAAGGGATTTCTTCCTTATTGTGTAGGAAGCGGCTGGTTTTCAATAACTAACAAGAATTCAATAAGAAACGGAAACGAAAAGCGTGAATGATAGATGATCATCAGAGTCAATTTCAATCAAATGAGTCTTGACTATATAGCCTTTATTGTGCTTGTATCGAACTGTGAGTAGAATGATTCAAGTAGAGAAGTCGTATCGTTACTGCATTGGAGAGCAGACTTACGAATTTACATGTCTTGTAATTACGTTTATGTTAATATCACGAATACCCTGCCTGCATGTCCTTAGAAATAACCGCTTTGCTTCACTATTGAGAGACAAGTATACTCCGCTTAAACATATCATGCACCTTTTGTTCTTAATCAGTATTAATGTCAACTTCCATGATTGTTTTTCAAATGTAGATATTTTGCCTGACATTTGAATGTAAGCTTATGTTAAAACTTTATTGTAGATTTAATATGTTTAGCGTGCTAATTTTTCATCTTTCCGATCACGTGGATTTTATCCGGGTAGTCCAATTTCTTCCCACATTAAAACCCCGTGCGAGCTTTCATCTTGGTCAACAAGAGTGACAAATTACAATAACAAGTGTCAAGTGGTTAATTATTTATATATATACCAGAAGCCAAACACGCGCGGGTTGAATGGAACTCAACATCTCCATAAAGACAGGTCAGTCCGCACAATTACACATGCGCAAAATATTATCAACCTGTAGTATTCCAAGATATAATGAAAATAACTGTGTGGTGTTCGTTAGTATACAATATTACCTTATATGATTATAAAGTTATCTTTTTATCGGAATTGGAAATAATGGGTCGCCCGCCGGACCACGTGGGTTTTCCCCTGTTACTCCAGCACAAGAGTACAAAATATACCACATCTTCACAAAGCAAATACAAAATATACCACAGCGTCATAACGAAGGGTAAATCTACCACAGCGTCAATATGAGTACAAAATATACCACAGCTTCATTACACAAGGACGAAATAAGCCGCAATCATTAGGACAAGAACATATATACTACATCGTCAACAAATACGAAAATATGTACCACAACGTCAACACACAAGTCCATTTTATACCATAGCGTCAACACACTAGGAAAATGGATCACAAAGTCAATTCTTATTGACAGAACCCGAAATATATAGATGAAATGTATAGGTACACGAAACATCATGTAGTACCTACACACAAAAACTAACCTATCATATTTGGAAGTGACGTCATGTAATTTTCCATCGGCGTAGATTGACGCCTTTATAATGGAAAACCCTGGGATAATCATAATAGTCACATTGTTTGTAAACGTCAAAGATTGGATAGTGTGGGGATTATTATTTTTATACTGTTGGTAAATGTCATAAAATTTGGTAGTGAGGTGACCATTTTGTCATACCGTTGATAAATGTCATAGAGTTTAGGTGACACTCATTGTTAATATCGGTACTTAAGAAGAGGATTCCGTATGTAAATGTCATATATTTGATAATGAGGTGATCATTATTTTCATACTGTAGATAAATGTCAGAGAATTTAGTAGTGAGGTGACCATTTGTGTCATACTGTAGGTAAATGTCATAGAGTTTGATAGTGAGGTCATTATTTTTGTCGTTATGTAGACAAATGTTATAAAGTTTGGTATTTAGGTGACAACATTGTAAGTATCGATACTAAGGAAGAGAGGTCTGTGTCATGACATCACTCATAAAGCTTAATCCTCTCCAACGAAAATCTGTTCTAATTATTTCACCATTAAGTTATCACTATATTGGAAATGCACATAGATTTCGAATGGTGTTAAGTATAACTCACAATGTACTTATATAGTATTTCCCAGATTTTTGACTTTGTGATTATGACTTGTAACTTATGATTGCGTGAATATACTGTATAACCTGATATTTAATCGTCTTCTACTAATATATATTTCAGATTTATGCATAACAACAACATATCAAGCCTGCCCGAAGGTTTATTTGACAACACACCAAAGTTACAACGACTGTAAGTTTTTAGCTGACATGTGTTTTTACTGGGGTATGGAGATAAACTGGCGTCTTGCTGAATGTTAAATCAAACCACAGCTGTTAGTAGACTGTGTCTGGTGGAATTCCCGCGGTTTTTTATTTAATATGCATGGTCTAAAGCTTCGACATTAACATGTATAACAGTAGGGCTAGATCTGGTATTTCATTTCTGTATAGTTTAACACCCGGGAGTGTGTGCACCTTCATTGGTGCACGACCGGACCCTTCAAGTAGGCTTTTATTTATTCATTCCTGACAGTCTTGTTTATCGTTGTTTATTTTCTTCGCTGTTTTTTTACACAAAGAAAACTGCGGCGAAATTCATGGTTCATGTCAGATATAGGCATCTAGGGAAGTTAAATATTTCTTCAGGTTATTCATGTGTTTGCAATTTTATGGGGTGTTTTTATTGGACAAACTAATTTCCAACTGGTACATTGAAGTGGTTAAGTAGTAACAGCCGATGTTAAGAACGGCCATATTCATCATGTTTCAATAAGGCAATATGAGTCCAAATTTTCTATTAATCACATTGGTTGAAACTACGACATTTTCGTAAATGAAGTGCATTATTTCTGTCGTTTATAGCATCATAAGCAAATGCCAAAATTGACAAAAAGTAACAAGAACCTCATGTGAAAGTTCAACCTGACACTTTCCAGCAATCAGACGCCTTTTATGTGATAACACTGTTTTCTTACACAGAGTGCAGTTTTGTAAGACCTGTTTCAAGTTAATTTTCATATCTTTACGTGGAACGCTATCTGAAGTTATAAAAATAGAAACATTAGGCCCACTATGGTCCCTAGGTAGTAGATTATACATAAATGTTCCTTCCACAAGCCTGTTCGGCATCTCAGGTGTTTTTTTTACATGAAATCAATGTGTAATTCATAGGGAAAGCCCACATGGAAACATAGTTATCACTACGTATTATCTTTATGTAGAGGCTGATTAATCTGAGTATAACAGAAGTAAACTTCCCGTCCAGAACACGATTTTCATGTTTATCCGTGCCTTTAAAAATTGAGTGAAATTTGACACAAAAACGTGATATGATTTTTTTTAAGATATGTATTTTTTTGTCGTTGCCTGTTCCTCGTACTTGAAAGCCTCTTTGAAACACGTGAAACTAAACATTAAACACTATTTTGACTACCAATTGCTGTAATAGATACGTTTTGTGCATTTCGAAAATCTCGAAAATGTCAATATTTCTGTTTGTTCATTTAAGAAATATGGGTTGTTATGCTGTTTACTTAAGCTTAAATTTGCACAGAGATTACCGTGTGTGATTTTGTTCTCATGTTCAGAAAATCTGTTTTTGAGGCCTGATTATTTTTGTGTAAAAATGATGTTGAAAAAGTCATATAATCGTTTATATATCTGTTTCGCTCAGACGAAATTCTAACAACATTTGTCAAAACAGACAACAAAGAGGGAAATCACATTTAAGTAAAACAGGAAGATTAGAAACATGAGCACGCTGAATAAAACAATAGTCATAATTATGAACAAATGCTATGACGATGAGAAAGTGATATTCTATTTTTGCTGTTTTATGTGTAGACGCCTTGATGAGAACCCTGTCCGTTGTGACTGTGATTTACTTTGGGTTTCCCGGTTAGTACAGAGGAGAAGACCCCGTGTTCAGATCACTGGAACATGTCATTCCCCACAACGGCTGCTTAATAGACCTATAGGGACACTTAACGAACGTCAATTCAACTGTGGCCGATACGGTAAGATGCAGTCATTCTAGCCATGATAATTAATCACTCCTAGAGCATTTGTCGTTGAAAAGGGGTTGAACTTAATGAACTGTAATCGTTACCGCTGTGAGATGGAAATGGTTTAGGAATTATTTGGATCCTTGTCGTTTTGTTGTTTCTTCTCGAAATCGCAATGCAAAGGCGTGGCATTGCTTGGACATGGCCTAGATTTACATGGCGGGTGTCGTCGATGAAACAGAAGACGCTTACCTTTCCGTGTAAATCTTTTCTGTGTTCACATTTTGTATGGTGATTTTGGGTTCGAATTATAGTTTCGTTGACACATCGAGTATCTCTATATATTTTTGGACTATATTGTACATATATAATTAAAGACAAGCTATAACACTGTTGATGAAAACTATTATGTGTTCATATATATATAATTCCTTTGTGTATTAACGGACGGAAACAAAATAACGCGCAAATGTTTGGAATACATATGGTGCATGAAAGAGAAACTTAAATGTCATTACTAGTGATATGTAGCCCGCATGTACATAGATTTTAAAACGCTAGTTAGCTCATCAAATGATATCTGAATGTCATTATTTATTGAAAACGTAATTGTACATAGTCAGGGGATAAACTCATTGTCATGGAAAACGAAGTAGTCTAAATTAAGTTTAATCTCTTGGTTTTCTGGAGCCGTAATGATGTGGTTCTTTGTTTTAGCCGACAAAACCTCCTTTATATTAATGAAATAATGGTGTTTTAAATTGCTATCGAAAAAAATAATTCTACCATCTGTTATATCACATTTAATACTTTTAAATCTCCCCCTCCCTGTTGTTTTAAATGGAGATAGTTATGTTTAGTATCCGTAGATACCTTTTGATCAGGAAAAGGGGAGAAACAACTAGGGAAAACCGATTTGTCCATAAAGTTTGAAATTCGAAAATCGACAGAACTAGGCCAAAACATAATAGAGAAAGAGAAGTGGTAAATATTGGGAGCCTTGAAAAAGGAGAGGAAAACTAAGGTATCAACGACACCTGTAATGTAAATCTAAATGCGATGAAAAGGACTATGTATAAGTACATGTTTCCCAATCATCAGGATGAAATTTCTTTGTGACTGTACAGGTTAATTGACAAGAATAAAATATATGGTTTAAACAAAATTCAAAAAAACAAAAATTATGTAAATCTAGATCAAATCCTACTTTTGTCACGATCGCAAGGCGGAAATCGGGGTAGTAAGAACAAAACAATAAGGCACAGTAATGAGCATAATAAAAACATCGACATTCATATCATATAAAGAAAATGGAATATTTTCGAATGATATCATATTTTCGACCTTAAAACTAGCCCCTAGTCTTCATCAAACTAAATCTCTCGAAACCCTGTGTTGTCTAGACAAGAACCTTAATGGTTATTGCTTGTTAAATATTCTTTTCGCTACTTTAATCATGTACTTTATTTTTAAGTTAAATGAACAATAACAAATAAACATCATTTATTCAACACTTTCTTAAATGATTATAAGTTATTCCAACCTCAATTTAATTATGTTTGTTTCGCCCTCATTTGGTACGATAAAAGAACTTCACGATTCATTTTTTTGAGTAAATCCTGAGTTCATTCGATCGTGAAATCATATGTATCGCGAATAATTTTGTAGCTAGAATACTGCAGTTACTATTGTGCACTTTAAATCTCGTACAACAACTATATTTAAGAGCAATACTTTTGACCATTATATTTGCCTTACAGTAGCCCCTGTGTTGACAAGGCAACCAGTGGACCATGAAGCGGTGGAGGGCAGCACATCTATGTTTCGTTGTACCGGAACTGGAACGCCGACACCTGTTATCAGCTGGTTCAAAGACGGTGGGCATGATCTTCTTCTGATAACATATGTCAACAAATTCATGTCTGTGAGATTATAACAAAAATTAAAATTAAAAACGGTATTGTTTTCATGTTTAGTGTCCGGAAGTATCTATCGTAATACAGAAAATATAGGATAACGTTATTCCATATTTCAAATCATTGATGGACCAATTTAATTTAAACACCAAAGAATGAAAATTTCATAGAAGTTCATATTGACCATGAATAGTCGTTATTAGCGCTGTTTCCCTTTACTATAGATATTATAATGGACGAAAACATGTTTGTTCATTAGATGAACTATTGGCGCTAGATGACCGAGTACAGGTGTACGAATTGGGGGCTCTGCTGAGGTTCTCCAGGGTTGTCTATGCGGATCAGGGAGTCTACACATGTAAACTGACCAACACGGCCGGAACGACCGAGGCCGGTGCAGAGCTGAGAATCACACAACCAAGTAAGGCAACTGCCATTTTAACGACGTGGAATGCTTTCCACATCCAGAGTTTTAAGAAGATTTTTGATGTTTCTTTGGTCCTTGTTGTTGTCTTTTTTATCAGGCGTTATTCTTTTTTTGTTCTTCTTTGTGTGTTTACAAGTTTTTTTTTTAATTTTGATGTGACGGAGTAAAAGATTTCTAGAAATATCAGTTAAGTAGGGAAATTAAGAAAGTTGATGAGTCCTACTTGAGCTGCAACTTTCTGCTTTAGGAGAACTTTAGCCTCATCGCCAGTTTTTGTGTGATCAGTATCTTTGTTTATATGTTTGCCCGGTTGCTGATGGTGTTTTGATAGGTCTTTAAACTTAACTCATTTATTCTGCAAAGCGCTTTTTAGCGGTGCAAAAGTTTGTTTTGAACACAGATGATTAAGTCATTGAGTTCGTTGCACATTTGTTTTCCAATTCAAACCTTAATTAACGAACAAAACAAATATGCCAATTTGCATGATAATACGTGGAAGTTTAGGCTCCGTTACAAATGAGGATTTTGCAGTTCTCATCCGGGAATGTCATATTCCTGAGAAATAGCAGATAACCAACAGTTGTTGCATCCAACCATGTTGTTAAAAACACTCGCCTAACTATGTGGTACACGTAAATACTTTTTATCATTTGTTGAACACCTAATAGATCTTGCAAAAAGTAAAATGTTTTTGACAATCGTTTTGGGTGTTTTAGTTTTTGTGTCGCCTGCAAAAAGTTGGTGACAAATAGGTATTGCTATGTCGGCGTCGGTGTCGGCGTCGGCGGCGTCGCCCGCACAGAGGTTTTCGTGCGATAACTTGAGTTTCCTTGGGGCAATCAAACTCAAACTTCATGCAGTGCTTCCTTACCAAAAGTACTTGCTTGGGATTGCCTTTCATGTCCGAAGGTCAAAGGTCAAGGCCACTGTTACTATGAATAGAAAATCTGTTTTCGTGCGATAACTTGAGTTTCCTTAGGCCGATCAAACTCAAACTTCATGCAGTGCTTCCGTACCAAAAGTGCCTGCTTGGGATTGCTTTTCAGGTCTGAAGGTCAAAGGTCAAGGTCACTGTTACTATAAATAGTAAATAACTTTTAACATTATTTCTTGAAATGAAAAGTGTATCTATTTCTTCGTAATCTCCCAGCTTTCTGCGCCGGCGACATATCCACTTCCGTGGAATTCTCGTTAGTTTTTGTTTTTAGCAATATATTTTATACATTTGAATAGCAGTTTTTTTTTCGATGGAGGAAATGTAACGGTTTTATTAAAATGGGTGCTTTAGAGTGTTATGTATGTAGCTATATTGGGAGAAGTTGATAGGGTGTAGGTGTGGGGGAGATTATAGTGTCTCGGTTTCTCTTCGGCTCCTGTTGTGTTGTCACACCCTCTTCGTGCTCTTTTATTGTTCATTGCTAATATAGTATAGTACTAACGAAATCAACTCTTCCAGCTCAGACTCAGGAGTTCCCCGCCAACGTCGAGGTGGAAACCTTTGTGGGTACCAACAGTCTATTGGAGTGTGCCACAGACGATTTCATCCCACAATACCGGTGGATCAAAGACCAAGAATTGCTACAGTCTGGCCCAAAGTACTCCTTCCAAGGCAACCGTCTCGTCATCCGAAACATTGTCCCTGCCGACGCCGGCAAGTATGAATGTTTTGCCGAAGGCACCGTCGGGTTCAATCGGAAGGCTGTCTTACTCAAGGTCAAAGGTAGGAAGTACAATAACTAAGAGTTGCCGTAATTATAACGATAATACATCACTTTCAAAATCGTTTAAAGAAATAATCTTTTGCAACTAATGTTTTTGGATTTTAATTGACACATGTCGTATTTGAAATCTTTTCACTGTCTTTGTAATATTAATACTAATTGCCTATGTGATGGTGTAATTTTCTAATATGCCTATCTCACCTATTGTGTTATGTCAACGCCATAACTTCTATACAGCTACCGATGTTGTTTTGACAAAACATTAAACTATACTATGATCAGGTGGTTTTTAAATTTTTATTCTAATGACAATTTCCTGAAAATTACTTTCAAATTATGATCTCTTCTATGCCGTGATAATAACTAGGGAAAGAGTAAGTGATAGCACAATGTACATTTAGAGGTCCACCAAAGGGTTTTCAATGCATATGGGGTGTATCAGAATATATTATACCAGTGAAAAGCGAATAGAAGTTTATTCTTTCACTTTGATTCAAATAGGTGATGACCGAACATTCGACGGAGACGTTTTTGTGCGCCAGGCCATTAGAGAAGCGACCAACCGGGTGAACGTTGCCATCAACGACACACAGCGCCACCTGTTTGACCGCTCGAGACAGCACACTGTGCAGGACCTCATTGCTATTTTCCGATACCCTGCAGCTGAGGCTCTGGAACTAGCAAGAGCAGAAGAGATATTCGAACAGACGCTAGACATAATTGTCCGACACGTCCGAGAAGGACACAATTATGACCTAGATACAACAGGTACTCCCCTCCTTTTAAAAGATGATTTTTAATGTTTTTTCGCTATACTATAAATAATTTCAAGTATGGCAGACTACTTATATGTTATACGAGTTTTTTAAATGCCCTTCAATGAAAGTTTGAACAAGTTGAAAGAATCAAATGTCTCACGTAATAAAGTGATATAGTTATCTTTGAACGAAAACATCAACTAAGTGCAGCATTGCAAAGCTACCGACAGATGATGTTTATATTTATTAGGTATCTATATTGAGCATTTAGAGCTTACTGGTATATCATATTCCTCTCTCTCTGACTTTCCTTAGTTTATTTGACCTTTCGCCTAAGGGTATAGTTTAATTTGTAATGACTGAAAATTCTGCTACTAGTATGACAATAAATTTTCCTCCCAAACAGACTTCTATATTTATATGCATATTTGAAATCAATATTCTGCCTCTTGTGTTTAGGTGATTCCTACCGTGACATCATTTCCCCCGGTCATCTTACCCTGATCGCAAACATGTCGGGATGCTTTGCAAATCCGCGTATCACAAAATGTAGTAACATGTGTTACCACAAGAAATACCGTACTATGGACGGGACTTGCAACAATCTTCAGGAGCCACTTAATGGAGCCACCGTCACCGCTTTCAGCCGGCTCCTCCCGCCCATCTACGAGAACGGATTTAACACTCCTGTCGGTAAGTCATCTTCTGCAACACAGCTACAAAACCGGGTTGAACACCTATCGGTAAATCAGTCTTTGTAGAGTGCGGGTTAACACTTTAGACTCGACCTTGAACAGACTCCCCAACCCACGATATCAAGCATCTGTCGGTAACATAAACATGCATATTAAGCTTGAAACAAATTTAAGGATGACTTCTTTTTTTATATTTAACAGGCTGGAGTACTTCAAAGCAGTATAATGGCGTTCACCTTCCTAGTCCGCGTCTCGTGTCTTCCTTCCTCATGTCCACAGACCACGTGACGGAGGACGAGACAAGCACTCACATGCTGATGCAGTGGGGACAGTTTGCAGACCACGACATCACGCTCACACCACAGTCGATCAGTTACGCCCGCTTCAGCGACGGCCGGCGCTGTAACGAGACATGTGACAACGAGTATCCGTGTTTCCCCATCCCGGTCCCCCGCAGTGATTCACGTATCCAATCACATCCATGCCTAGGATTCGCACGGAGCAGTGCCATGTGTAATTCTGGTAGCACCTCTATATTCTACAAGACGTTCTCCGCTCGTCAACAAATCAACGCAATCACTGCATTCATAGACGCAAGTAATGTGTATGGTAGTAGCGAATTTGACATACAGAGGCTGCGAGAGCTAACCAACAGCCGGGGACTTCTACGGGAGGGACCTGTATCTACTAATAGGAAGCGACTCTTACCGTTCGACAACTCCGGGTTCCTTGATCATGCTGACTGTCAGATTGAACCAAGTAAGCAGCACGTGCCTTGCTTCCGTGCTGGAGATCATCGTGTAAACGAACATCTGGCTCTAACGGCAATGCACACGCTTTGGATGCGCCAGCATAACCATGTTGCAAATGGACTCGGTAAAATCAATGTCCATTGGGACGGGAACATGATATTTCACGAAGCCAGAAAAATCATTGGTAGCATGATGCAGCATATCACGTACAACCATTGGCTACCTAACATCATCGGGCCGCGCGGCATGGATATGCTCGGCCCCTACAAAGGGTATGACCCGAAAGTAGACCCTACCATCACCAATGAATTCGCCACGGCTGCCATGAGATTTGGCCACGCCCTTGTTCAACCTGTCATCTTCAGATTAAATGCCAGTTTTTATCCCATTTCGGAGGGAAACCTCCAATTACACAAGGCCTTCTTCTCACCTTACAGACTGCTGGAGGAAGGCGGTATCGACCCGTTACTAAGAGGCATGTTCGCTGTATCGGCTAAGAAGAGGATGCCAAGTGAGATGATGAACTCAGAACTTACAGAGAAATTGTTTTCTTTAGCCAATGTTGTGGCACAAGACTTGGCCTCACTGAACATCCAGCGAGGACGAGACCACGGTTTACCTTTCTACAACGCCTATCGTGAGCTGTGTGGCATGTCCAGGGCCGCCAGTTTTGCAGATTTCCAGTCCGAAATAACCAGCAGCGATATCCGTGACAAGTTGCAAGCCCTGTATGGACATCCAGGTCAGTGATATCAATGAGGGAGTATTAAGTTCATGTTTCCGTAGTATTTTGTGTAATTGCAAGCAATACATTTTAAAAAGTGTTACAAAATAGGTCAACTTATTAATTATTTATGTTATATCAAATAACTGTTTGAAATAAATTTGAAAATGTTTGTGATCGTATCTACTATCTTATGTAATTCTTTCCATAGCTTCCATGGAATAAAGCAGATTTGTGAACTTTGAAAACTGTCTGATCAATGTGCACAATGAGTCCATTCTCTTATAAACTGTTTACAGATAATATCGATTTGTTTGTGGGAGGAATGAGTGAGACGCCCCTGCCAGGGGCAAAGGTTGGACCAACGTTCATGTGTATCCTTGTGGACCAGTTCAAGAGGATCCGTGAAGGTGACAGGTAAGTCTCGCCATTGCAACCGGAAATACGTCCAAATTTGGAATTCGCTTCACACCACAGTAACGTGTTTGTTACAATGTACCATTGCCTCTGTCAAATTCTAAAATGTTGTCCAGCTTCAAACGGATTGTAATTATAAATATTGATTTGATACAAGCTTGGTCCAGACTCAATGTAAAAATGTAAAAAAAAAAAAAGAAATCTTGCACATGGTTTGATAAGCAATTTTCCTTGTGTAAATCATGTGATACTTCCAAGTATATAAAAAAATAATTCCGCGAAAATGTTTTGGTTACAGGCCAATTAGTCATTTTTACATACAAGAGTTGTTCCCTATTACCTACTTTTCGGGTTGTTTAAGTATTTCTCGCTCCCTATCTTGCTTTCTTCGCATCTGTTTTAGGTTTATTTACCAGATAAACACTGATGAAAACAATAATTGTGCTGTGTAGGTCACCACAGTATTTGATTTGAGATAACAAAATGTACCTTTCTTTATTCGTGCATATTTTGAAATTCCCCAACGATAAATCCATAAATTACATAGTCTTGTCTTTTTACTCTTTCTGCGCTTTATCGCACAGTCCTTCAAAAATCATATTTTACTATGTATTATGTGATTGACAAATTTAACAACATCAAACTTCCGGACTGCTAGAGTCATCTCCCCTTACACTATTTAATCATTTTGTTTCTTAGTCAAAATTTCACTTGCCGTGCGGATACTAGTGGTATTTTCTTTCAAATGAATTCATTTTTACTTGAAACAAATTTGAAGCGTGGAATTCTGCATACATGTATGTGTGCACTAGACGGAGTTAAATGCCTTCAAACATATTGTTCCCAGTTGCTGCTTCAAATGTTTAGAAAATAGTCTTCCTGCTTTCAATTCATTTCCTTGTAAAGACTGGCTAATAAAGGCCCCTAATACCTCTTGTATTACACAGATTCTGGTACGAAAACCCCAATATGTATGATCCTGAGCAGATACACGCTATCAAGCAGACGACATTGGCCAGGGTCATCTGTGACAGTAGTGATAGCATTGATAGGGTACAACAGGACGTGTTCGCCAGAGTTGACAACTACACTCAGTATCTACCCTGTAACAAAATTCCATCCATCAATCTCAAGGTCTGGTCAGAGTGCTGTGCAGGTAAGTCGATACTATTTTAAGGAAATGCTGATACATTATATTTTTGCGCCATTAGTAGATGTATCTATATCTACATTCAAGATCTGAAGATATATTTAGTATTACTACCTTTGGCCAAAATATTCCTCCTTGCATAACAACGTGCTGGATAAGGGGGTTCCCTAACAAAATGGCTGTTAATCATCAATTGACAGTAAACAATTATGTGATGCGAAGTAGTATCAAAATGTATCTCTGTCTATTACCTTTATATATAATGATGAGGATGATGATAATTTTCCATTGAAGGTGACTTCGCCTTTGGAATCCATGCTATTGACAGTTTTATGTAGGTTCCTCCGGAACAATACAAAAATATTATGTTTTACTATCTTTTAAATGAACGTAGCATACACATTTGTTTGTTCATCTTAACAAGATTTGTGATACCTTAGATACTATGAGCCAAACATAAATTCCACTGTATCATGCAGATTTTCAACGATGATTGAAAAAATGTGATTGACTGATTTAAAACCATTTTCAGAATATACCAAAATATTTGTAAACGCAGTCGCAGACGAGTAGAAGTATTTGATTGGTCACCCGTAACAGTTATCTATACTGGTATAGAACATGTATTGAACTTTTATCCAGATATTTCTTTTAAGTTTATGTTGTCAGTAGTCAGTGATAAAGGTTGTATGTTTTCTTACCTTCAGATTGTAACGATGCAGGAGATTTTCAGACATTGACAAGTAAGTTTCAGCGGGCTGCCACGCCCCGCCAGTCCCATCGTGAGGACAGGGAACATGTCCTGGACAGGGAAAATCAGGGAGGAGGTTATCAAAACACCATGGCTAGTCTCCAGAATATGAAGGAAGGCATGTCAGTGATGGAATCTCGTATGGAGGGTATGGAAGGGACCATCAATAGCCTCACCAAAACTCTCAAGTACCTCAGGAGGAAGGTAGGACCTTTACATAACACTCCGAAAACGAAAGTACTATCGGTTCTTGTAATTTTGGGTTTGGAATGTAAAATAGTCTGGCTTAAGGAAACAGAAATGGTCCAATAAAAGTTGTTTTGTTCCTGTGTGTAAGTCAGGAGGGAGATCGCGCTGCTGTATAATCTTTATCTTAATGTTATACTGCAACTAATAATGTATCGATGTTTTCTAAAATTGATTATTTAACGACAATTATGAAACAACGTTTTTCATCTTACATAAATCACTTTTGTTGGCCTGGATGAAAGCGTGTAGAAGGTCTTAATGTGGGGGGAAACCGGAATACCTGGAACAAATCGAAGGAGGTGTAGAAATTAAATAATTAGAAAAACGCATTGGCGGTAAACGAATTGGCAAATGGCACGAATGTTATTATATTGCATACCAAGGAATCAAGTCAGACCTTTTCTACAAACTTGACTTTGTGTAAAATCGAAATCATTATACTAGGAAAATATAATAGAAACCGTTTTATGTTCATTACTGAACACCAGACAAAATGAGGTTTGTGGTCCATGTTCCCGTATGTAGTAGCTAGCCCATAGTAACATGCGGTTTGTGTTCCAGATGAAGAAAATGCACAGACATATGAAGAAACATCCAATGTCTGGTTGTTTAGACGAAGAACGCGTTTTCCGTTCGGAAAATCAACGATGGAGAATACATGATTGTAAAGATTGTATATGTAAGGTAGGTATGTTTTTGTGTCACATTGTGACACTAACTGACCAATCAACGGTCACATGTTATTAAGAATAAATCGGCCATAAACCAAACATTTTACTTGTGCAACTAACTGACCTATCAGCGTCCCCGTGACTTATATATAATGAATTCATCGCCGGCCAGCTGTGTTACAGTATAAGCTGACTAATCACCTGTCATACAACACTAACTGGCGAATCGGCTAAAATAATAACTGACCCATCACCGATTCTCTTTTATATTGAGCAAATCGGGCAATCAGCATAGCTTTATCATATAAAAGCACATGACCAAGACAACTACAAGTCATTTACAATATATATTTTGGTGATAACAAGCTTCAAAACCGATATAAATCAAGACTTCAGTTTAATTTTACTGTTCTAAAAATAGTATGGATAACAAACATGTATGCTTGCCTAATCGTAATGTATGTGTTGTTCTGTTTCAGGGTGGTCGTATAGAATGCGAAACTCAAATGTGCCCTTTACCCACTTGTGACTCTCCGAGGAAGATTTCAAGCCAGTGTTGTCCTGTGTGTTAATTTACATAGTCACAACGCAACCCAGTGATCAGGACTACATACTTTCACATCACAGTCAGTTGCCATGGCTACCTACTACCAGTGTTCATGATTGCATACAGCACAGCAAGTAGTCAAACATTGACAAACTAATACTACTGTCGATTTTTATCAAATTTTCAAATGTGGATTGAACAGCATGGTGTAGTTGGCCTGTCCTTAAGAACGCAGTGGGACTGGCGATTATTGTCCACGAAGCTTGCTAGCGTTTCTTGTTTGATGTGCATTTAGCCAAAGAATATCTGCATTATAGGTATCGTAAAATGATCGCCAATCCAAACATGTTATGATCATAACGGTAACTATATAATTATTTACTAAAACATTGTTGTAGTTCATTCTACAGTGACCTCCGTTAAATGGACAAGCATGTAGATGACAGTTAATCCAATACAAAACTGTGATGCAGCTCTCGTTTTGTAAGGCGCTACCGTGGTTATTTGATGATGTGATAATTGACATGATCAACTGCTCACAACGTTTGCGGGGAAATAAAATCCCGAAAAATTGATGAATCCTTTAAGGAGAATGCATTTATTTGATCTAGCATACATGAATATAACCAGGAATGTATGCAAATGGTCCAGCTTCACTCGTAAATGAAATTTTAGTTATTGATGAATACAAATATTATCGAAAATAAACTAAGTTTGAAGAAATTTGTTCACTACAGACGGGTCGACAACTCTGTATCTGGTTTCCTTTCATTTGCTTGTGTAACAGAAATATTTTTGTTACGTCAGACACAAATCAAAATATCATTTTTCTTTGTAAGAAGTTGGCAAGGGTAACAGAAAGCTTAACTCAAAGTCACGGGTACTGTCGCTTGCGTAGTTTATTATCCTGTATCACTAACACTTCGTTAGTCACATAGTCCTCTGCTCCAGAGAAGCTCTTTAAATATGATGAATTCTAAATTCATTAGAAAAGGGATACACTAAGCCTATTGCTAAAAATGTGTTAATTAAAATCTGTCCAAGAATAGATGGGCTTATAGTTGTGTGATTATCACCGGTGATTTAATTATATTGCAGTAACGAACTCCTTGAGTGTGCTTTAGATTTTGCGAATATGCTGTAGATAACGAGTATTGTGTTCCCCTTGCCTTTGCGATTAACAGATTTTAATATATTTTGCAATCAAGTCCAGAACTGTTTATCTTATCAGTTAGCACGATTTGTGCTGATTGAAGTATGGTACAAATCTTATTTCATCATGGTTTCGCTTGATGACAGAATGTAAGTTGATTCTCTGTACTCTACAAAATATGCAATATATTTCTGTAAATAATGCTGGTGTCAATGTCTTGAAATATAAGTGGTAATATTGATGTGATACTATGGTCATGTCACCAAAACATTGCAGTGTAGCATGAGTGTTTATCACCTCTTCAGCTGATGTATCAATGTGGGAATCTGTAAACGTCTGACCGTCAGAAGGACACTCAGATAGAAATCCTTTTCTCTGGGGACCTAATGAAATTCTTGTTCACTAACCCTGGTATTGAGTACCATTAAAATCCCGTTGTAGGGCAAGAGGTTATAAATATAACACGTTTATGAGATATTAAACCATGAGGTGTGTGCAAACTTCTAGTGAGTCATGAAAGGGAAAATCAATCTGACTGTGCCGTCATGTATGAATAACAAATTACTGTAAAAAAATTACTTTGCCTATACAACTAAATGCCAGTATTTTTACTCAATGCCAGTATATTTGTGAAATTTAAGGAAACCTCTTTTATGGTTTAAAAGACGAAAGGCGAAAAAGTTTGTTGTTTTGTAGTTAGACCAATTGCAATATACCCTCGGATATTTTAAAATAAGTAATGCATCGTCAAAAATATTCATGGGTATATTACATTAACTGCATCGCTAACATCTCCTTTCTTGCATTTGGAAAAGAGTTATTTTCATGTGTCTGATCTAAAATGTAAAAGTTCAACGTTTTTCATAAGATATATATAATATAGCCTACCTAATGTTTGTAGCAGTAGCCTAAACAACAATGGATGTAAACACATTCAAATAAAACTATCACTCTTAGGTAGACGCTGAATCTGATTTTTCACATGTTGGTCCACTGGAGGACTAATGACCTGCCCGTCTTGTTCAATCAACCACAGAATTTTTAAAAGATGTGTAAGAAATTGGTGTGATTTGAAAAATCTCCATTATCAAGTCTTCTCGTATTATTTAGGGAATACCTTTGAAAAAATAATTCATTTGGTATACGAGGACCGAAAGTTAGGATATATTTCAATAATTTAACTCTAGAGCTAGACATTATAATGTTGATATTATATATGTGACTGGTTCAACAACATGTGGCTATGTGTATTTTCACGTGTTTTTAATTTTCATATTTCCATGATGTCTTCCATTTGTCATCCGTAATTTGATGCAGTTTGTATTTTCATATTTATATAAAAAGTGTATTTTTATACTTCGCAATTCGTACTTTTTTATCAAAATGAGCATGTTTCTATCACTTATGTATTTAAAGTTTTTTTTATATAGTGCTTTGTGTGTATAACGACTAATGACATGTATTGTGTAGAATATTGACCACTCTGAGCGGACGTGATACCTGTTGGATTAAAAGGGTATTTTGATTTGAACATATTTACTCCATTCCTTGATATCCAGTTTTGTATACAAATCCATGCTTACTGCTCAAGCATTGCGCACTCACAGCTCATTGAACCTGAACATACCTCAAACTGAAATGTTACAGCCTGATCGGTGGAGGATTATACCTCATGATAGAATGTTAAAATGTAATAGGTCAATGATATTACTTGATACTAAATTTCTGCAATCTAATTAGATGAGATAATGCGTACGCTCGAATCTGGAGATCTGATTGGTTCGGTTATATTTCATATTACATTGCTGCATACTGGTTGGTATGAAAAACTGCTTTAACAGTCCAATGTACATCCATAGCAATATTGCGTCATCAGTGTTAACCTTGCTAAACGCAATAACAATTTACACAATATGCTACTTTCTGAACTGGAACTGTTTTTAGTTTCTCACGAAATGTATAACCATTTCAATGCTCCAAAAAGCACTGGTATCCAAGACAAGCACAACTCTAACAAAATAACAGAAACCCTATGGAGATTAATGCTGGAAGGGAAGTATCTGTTTTAACAATTACCTGTATTTAAGGGCATATGTTTTGTTGATCGAGGTTGTTACGTAACATACGTTATGTTCTGTATCTTTGATATCGACTTTTCTCCAACCCTTAGACAAGAGTATGATGTAAACAATTATGACAAGTCTGAAGGATCGCCATGAAATGAAAAAGAACGTATTAAGCAGTGCTTAAGAACGGTTAGGAAGTACGATCTGTGTAGTCGAATTTGAAATTTAGATACATAAAATGTTGATTTAAGTTTTATGAAACAGTACATTGTCCTTAATGTATGAAGTACGTTCTAAGTACTTTTCAAAATATTGCTTTGATTTTGGTACTTATCAGAAACACAAGTCACCCTAAAACCACTGAAATCTGTATTTTTAAGAATGAAAGAGGTACGTTCTGTTGGTTGTACTAAATTTCGTCCATTTTAAATTGTAATTTATCAAATAAATAATTGTAAACTTACCAGTATGTTTACATAACGCATTTCACACCGTGTCTTCACACAAAGCTTCATTGGTTTTTTATTTTGTGTACCAGTATATTAGAACAAAAAGAATGTTAAAGATGTAATGTTTTCACCTTAAAACTATATCCTGATGCATAATATGTAATGATATTTAAGAAGCATTAAAACAAAATATATTTACATGTATATCCACTTCCGAGCGAATTTGATTTTTAACATTTAGTGATATATATTGAAATAGAATACCAAAGAAATGTATTATATAAGTTGTGAATACAACTACCGGTATACAAGCTGACGCTATGTATGTGTGTATGTATTATTGTATACGATACAGTCATAGAAAACATGTTAACATATAATACGGAAGTATGTGATACTATTTTGATTAAAGCCAAGAATTTGTATACTGCATTTGTTAGTTTTATTTTTTGACGATATTTATTAGATTTGTGATATTTTAAAGACGTAGATTATTTGAATGTTATTTCACCAGAAAGGCAGAATACCATTATTCTATAAAATTTAGATATTGATTGAAGTATTGTGTTCCACGGATGTTCAATTTTTACAATATTTTGACACCAAAGATTAAAGCATGTTCGTTATTGTGTCATATACATATGACGTGTTCGAGACTTCCTCGGTCATGTGTAAGGTTTCACGAGCGATATTTTTTCCGTGGGACGAAATTGTTTTTCCTATTGCTACAAGTGTGGTATTTGTTCATGACGCATAAAAAGAAGTCTATCGTCAAAATGCTATAGCCCACACGATTGATGTACAAAAAACGCAACTAATTGTAATTCTAACACGATTCGTTTGCAACGCGTGTTTTGATTGGATACGGACCATGTTCTAATCTGCGATAGAATCATGGTCAATCGTGTTAAGCTCCTCCCATCGCACTAAAGCCACGCCCCGTTTCTAATCAAAACAATATGGCGTCAAGCTCGCCTCATAGCGAAATCCCGCTGATAAGGCTAGTAGGCAACAGAACAGAAACGACCGATGAAATGCATTTGTTGAATGAATTACAAAGTAAAAAGTAAACATTCCTTGTTCTTACCTCCATTTATTACTGAAAGGTTCGTTCCATCCGTGTAAAGGCCTACACGGTCCAGTATGGGCGGGGCTAAATGACCGACTTTTGAAAGCTTCTTTCCGATTGGTCAGTCCGCTGCAGAATGACACGTCGCCAGTTCAGGTCACAAAGTACTTTTGTACAAGGAAATACAATGTTTCTAAACATATTAGCGGAGTATATTTGTTAGGTGTGTTAGAATGGGGATAGTACATTGTACGTTGTTTTTCGTGTCTATACTGTCGATTAGAACATGAAATTTGGTTTAAACTCTCGACCTATCGGTCTCGAGTTCCAACCCAAATTTCATGTTCTAATCGCCAGTAAAACAACGTACTATCCCCTTATCTGACAATGACACTACTCATTTCCACACACACCCACATCCACACACACACACACACACCCACATCCTCACACACATACACCCCCACCCTCCACTTTTTTTACAGAAATTATACGATCTTGGTATTAATATTATCTATGTTGGTTAATTTATTATTCGACAATCATTTTTATCTTAAATGTTGAAGAGTCGTGTTTCTGGTCTTCCCCGATACAAACGGCACTAGTGAAACGAAAATAGCAGAATATTGTCAGTAACACTAAACTTAATTGAAAATATTAATAATTTAAAAATTGCCATCTTGTATATATATATTTCATTATGTTATTGGGAAAGGGCTTTACATAAGTTGGACAACTTGTGCCCAATCCCTTTTGTATATTAGATGCAAATAAACATATGTTTAAATCAAAAGTCGATTGGTCAATAATTAATAGACAACCTCAAAATTCCAAATCCTCAAATCAAAAGTGTTCTCCGAAATGTAAATGAATGACGGCCATGTTGGTTTAGCTATAGAAGCGAAGAGATACAATAGACATCGCTAGAACATTTGTTATATTTTAAAACTCAAAGAACCATTTACCCGAATCCGGTATATCTTAATAAAGTATAAATTGCAAATAAAATTGCTGGCATGTCGTTAATTGAAAATGCCACAAAATGACGTCATAGTTGAGTGTCCGGTCTTCGAAATAGCGTATTGGAGTAAATATGATTTTGATAAGTATAATCAATTCCGTAATTTCACTCGGAACAATCTTATGCTCATTTTAATCAAAAGCTCCTCGTAAATAAAGCAGAACTAGATATGCTCACCAGCTGAAAAGTGAAACGAACAGAGATGGTCAGACAATTATTTGTTGAAAGTTGTATGACCAGATCGTGGGTCGATGTTATTTTGCCTAAATTAGTTTCATGCATAGAAACATTTCTCCTAGTGGTACCGTGTGAAGCAATAGGTGTGGTTATGGTAATAGGAAAATTACATGTAGTCTACTTAGTGTATAACGTTTTTAATTGTACAATAATATCCGAACAGTTAAAATAATTGTTGAATATACTCATCCTTATACAAATTCCAACACGATCAAAATTTCCTCTATCTGCCAAATTAATTTCCGTGGCATTATCTAAAATTATTCTGGCAGCGGTGGGATTCGAACCCACGCCTCCGAAGAGACTGGTGCCTTAAACCAGCGCCTTAGACCGCTCGGCCACGCTACCTGTGTATAAACGTATAGGTTGGGTAATAACCTCATTCTATTAATAACTTTTTGCTGAAAGGGTATCAAGTGCGTCTAAAAATACACTAATCTTACAATAGGACCAGCTCATAGTTCACGAACTGTGCAATATGTAATTCTATAAATATCCAACTTAGTCCGCTATTACTGACCATAGCCGCAGGCTTCAAAAATATCATCGATCACCTGTTTATGGTCAGCTTGTTTATACACTGCTGTGTCAAACGCCAAGATTGCGGGTACTTCTATGAAACTAATAACCCCATGATTTCATACCACATCCCATTTCGTCCTAAGGATGCTACATCGTTTAATTCATTTGAAATTCCGGGTGTACACATTTCAGTGCGAGAATACCTTTAAGGGCCTGGGCCCACTTGTATAAAACATCTCAAAATTAAGGAAAATCTTAAGTAATGTATTCTCTATGGGAAATCTTAGAATTGAGGAAATCTCAAGAGTTGAGAAGTTTTATACAAGTGGGCCCTGCATTTTAACTGGAAGAAGAAGAATTTTTTCGACTTGATATATTGGCAGTAATTGTGCCTCAATAGGATCCATCAGGCAAACAAAATATTTTTGCTTTAATGTAGACAAACACACATGCAGAGTTGCTGCCAGTGTCTGTAGTCGACAACATTTCAAATGAATTAAACGATGTGGCATCGATTAGACGTGTTGTCGACTGCATGCAATGTCAGCAATCTTAGTGTAACAGCCACTCTAAGTTGTTTCCGGTTTATTTGGTTAAATGAAGACATAAACATGTGCATAGTTACAATTTGTTAAGTGGACATATATGTAAGTTAATATAACTAATGATAATATTTACAACATTCTTTAACGTTATACGCAACCAGATCGCAAAGAAAAGAAAAGAAAAAAAACATGTGTTTGTTGTAAAAAAATCGAATTTACCGGAAGAACAGAAGCATTGAAGGAGTAATTATCTCGTGTTTTTAAATGAGTTAACCTCAGGTGGTCATTTATTTTAAAGTCGTAAATAAGTTGTTTTCTGTTTTTTGGGGGTTGTCATTTTTTCTTGTGTTGATTTTAGTTTAGTCTTAGTTCTTACTAAATAAGCTTTTAGTCTGACCTCATCTTCGTTGTTTTTGTTTACGTATGCAGGGGAAATACCACCGAGTGGCCTTGATGGTGTGTTGTTAATGCTGTCAGTTATGTCTTCCATTCGATCAATGTATCTGTAAGAGTTATTAAATGTAAACATTCGGAACATTCTATTTGTTGAGGTCTGGATGCTTCTCTCGGCGAAATTCGATTTAGTTTCATTTTCTGTGAATATGATGTGTACGTTTATAGATCGTAGATATTCCTGTACGATATTGTTTTTGGCCTCTTTCCCTTTTTTCAAAACGAAGGATCAAGGGTTGTCTACCCCTGTTAAATATGGACTTCAAACCCCGTACCATTTCCTTTGCCGTCTTTCGTTTCAATGGCGCCACGAACACGAAACGCGAAAATACGTCCTGTAGGACTAGAATGTATTGAATGCCGTCATTGTGTTTTGCCAGGTTTCTGACGTCCATTAAGTCACCGTCAAACTGACTGCCCAGTCCACTTACTACTACACGTCTCCTTTTAAACTTTCTTCTTATGTGTCTTTGTAAAGTGTAGGCATCTTGCCCCGCCAAAAACTCTCTGATACGTGTCAGACCGATCCTAGATTTTCCTTCCTTTTTAACAATTTGGTACAATTTGTATGGACCACTAAATGACCCAGCGTGTTTTGGGTCAGACCAAATACTCTCCAAGTACTGTTGCTCCCTCTGACGCCAACATTGAAAATGACTGACTACTCATATCAAGTCTAATTATAATGAAAGACAAACGCATATAAATGACATACACAATATCTTTTATAATTTCTCTGACCTTTTAAAAGAGCTATATGTCATGAATTGAACAAGAGGCATCCATCATTAGTATTTTACAATCTTCACCTATTAAAACATTATTTCTATGAAAATTATACGAACTGAAAGTACACTCTCATAAATGTTTATGAAATGAGTAATTCAATGTCACTTCAATTAACGTTTATCCTTTGTTTTACGTAAAATCTTAACATGACTTACAGTTTATGTACTCATTCCATGATGAATCTTAACTACACGTCAGCCCATTAGGATGACAGTTGCTGCATTGGAACATCCCCATCTGATTCTGGTGATCATCTGCCATTTCACAAAAGGTTACATTTTCGAGTTCGTTTCCTATAAAGTCTTTTAATACTGCCATGTCTGAAGGTTAGTGTTATACCAGTGCGTGTTGGTTTGATGTTTTCCTCGCTTTCTGGTAGGAACCACCGTCTAATGTTTTCGACTGGAGACTCACAAAATAATTACGTCCAAGATGTATGTGTAAGGCTGTGTCTTCCTTGTCATCAAAGCCCTTGATAGCGTCATCCACTTCATCAGCGTACCATGTCATGAGCTTCGTCCGTTTCTCCAAGTCCAGGGCAAGGCCTTTTTTGGTGGAATATGTCGTGCCGTCCTGTCTTTACTTGTACACTCGAATATGAATCCACAGTTTACCATGGAATCGATTGGCAACGACGTAATGATCATTCCCAATGTCTAACTGGCACCGTTTCTTTTCTGCACTGTCTTTACTCTTGTCCTTTTTCTTCATGGAGGTATTTTGGTCCACCCTTACATTTTTCACGGAGTTACTTGGTGCGTCTCTATCACTCTGTTCGGTCCTGGTTGGACTGATGGGTTCCATTTTTACCTTTTTGATGGGACTCTAGTCGATGATAAGTACGTCTGGCTACTCTTCAAAGCTTTCTCGCGGCAAGTGATCTTCAAGAAAAAAATATTATATATAGTTGTTTAATATACACATCCTTATAAAATCCCCAAATCGACAAAATTTACCATATCGGACAAAATAATGTCCATGTCATTATCTAAAATTAATCTGGCAGCGGTGGGATTCGAACCCACGCCTCCGAAGAGACTGGTGCCTTAAACCAGCGCCTTAGACCGCTCGGCCACGCTACCTGTATATATATATACACATGTATAATCTACACTGGGTAAAAACCTCAATCTATTAATATCTTTTTGCTAAAAGTAAAGGGTGCGTCTATAAATGAAAAATCTATACACATAAGGACCAGCTTATATTTCAAGTACTGTTGCTTAGATATTATTACCGGTATACTCTATCAATTTATTTTATGGGAACAGGTAATTCTATGAATAAGCCTTGCTCGAATAATAATGCCGGAACGTCTATATATTTGTTATCTGTACACCTGGAGTCACCTGGGGTCACCTGTTTTGTTTATGTTGCGCCACAGAGATGCTTACTTCCGCTTTTAATGACCATCATAACTGGCTTCAAATTCAGATTGGTCACCTATTTATGGTCACTAATTTACATGTTTTACAAAGTAAAGGAGTATCTATTAAAAGATGTAGTAAGTCGGTGGGAAAAGCGAAGTGGACGTTTTTACTGCACCGAATGAAACCATACGAAAGGACTACTCTAAGGTGTTTTATAAACCCCTTACTACTTGACTACACGCCACATTCCAACACTTCATACTAAGGATTCCTGTCTTATTTTGATGTCGGCAATTATTTATTTTCACATCAATATGGTGCATCAGTCTATCATATTTTTTTTCCGGATAATTTGGTTAAGTGTAAACATACACATGAATATGCTACACTGCAATTTGTAAAGTGGAAAATAGAGTTTTACACTTTTGAATGGTTCTCATGGTGCAGTAGTTTATCAAATGATTGATGCTATTTACAGTAATTTTACGCACTATAACTATGAAAAAGTATCAGATTGCTAGGGAACCCTTGGCTGATACACGTATGTTTGCTGTCAACAAGTCGATTAACCGGAAATGTTTCTGATTGGCTACTTTGTTATTGATGTAGGTGAGAAAGCTGCCGATACAATCAGTATAAAACACTGAGTTGGTATGTGACATGTAGTCAAATGGTCAAAAGATTAACAGTCATTGTAATGAGGTTATTATCAAGAAAATAAAAATTACAATGGAAAAATATGCTTCTGTGTTTTACTTTGATGTATAACTGTCTTGAGGAAGGTAATATAAACCTGGTAAAACAGGGAAGTGTCAAACTGGAGATACAATTTTGAAGCAACACCAAGGAAGTCCTCAATTGTGTAGCCCCTGCAGAATTCCCAGTGCTGAAAGAGGTTGAACATACCCAAGGCATGAAAATACACAAAACGTACCCTTGGGGAAAAGAAAATCTCAATAAGTTACAATGTTTGTTTGATTAATACGTTTCCTAGTGACGTCACGTATTCATCAATCACTGTGCAACAATGATCCTTCCTGTCTACCCGGAACACATTGGGGGGTGTTATGCATTCAGTGCATATAGAAGTCTATAACAGTCTAGGATGCTTGCCAGGACAATGCGGTGATCGTTGCGGCAATTTTTGAGTAAAACCTTTACGTTGTTTTTGTACAACCAAGTTGACAGAGAAGACCAACCCGTGATGATATCATCACATGTTCTATTTCATATCTTGTTGTAATGTAACAATGTATCTGTCTTTGATGTTGTTCGAACACACAATCGTGTATTAACCAAAACCTAAATGAGTCCGTCGATTTAAACCAATGTCTGTTTTCTTATTGTTTTTAACAATTAATATATTGATCTATCTTTTAACGGACAGTTGTCTAGTACAAACAGAAACCACCGATTAGAACCAGTCACTCTGTGAGGTCTCCCTGAACGTGTACAGATACTCGTTTGACCTTCCTTATGCTTACATACAGCAACGCTAGCCCTACATATCTGTCAGACTATCATAGATAAACAAACATATTCGGTGCATATGTTCAAACGATATCTAATCATCGTTGATAAAGCACGATCTACCAGCAGTGGAACAGTTCAAAAGGTCATGAATTTAAATTAATTCGAAACTATAGTGAAAAATGCAGAAGTCTTCATGATTGTCTGATGCGTTACAGAGACACTGTTTTGATATACAAATCACACAAAATAGAATGTTCACACATCACAAACCTTAAAATCTGTGCCCAAGCAGTGTATAAGTCACGTGTGTATGAAGCGTTTTAAATTGAAAGGAGAATACTTTATTAATCGTGAAAACTAAACGTCAATCGTCTCTCTTTTTGTAGATACATAGTTTAAAAACAGTATGAACAATGGTCTGACTGGTAGACAAGTGTAAAAAAGGATGACAGAAAGGAACGATATTAAGTAAATTTTAATGAAAATAATATGCACATCGCGGTATTGGTAATTCTTTCTTTCTTTGAGTACTAAAGATAACCGAATTTAACTGCTGCTAAACCTGCACACCAAAACACAAACAATTAGGTCTCTAACAAAATAATGGAAAGGACAAAGTTAAAAGATTACAAACATTGATATATATGTATCAATGTACCAGAAGAGTTATGAGGGTTCTGTACAAACACACACATAAATGTGGTCATTGGCATCGACAATACCTTTCCATTTTACATAAATACCCACCAAGGTCAAGGTCAGGATCAAGGTCAAGATTGATGGCACTTGATCAACTGAATAATAATGAACTATCTGTTTTATAATAGCAAAACTGTTTCCTAATGTTTTTTAACAGCTTGTATACTTTGAGTCTTACCCGTTACATCGTTGTTGTTGTGATATTGATTTGATATATGTATCAAGGTTTTGTTATTGATTTGTATGGCCCATTGAATTTTGGTCATTGGGGAGAGCACATGTGTTCCGAGGTCAATGTCCTGTCCAAGAAAATGGTCACTTTGGGGGAAAACCTCAGTGCTCCACAAAGTAATGTGAGGTCGGTAAGTGAACTTAAAAAGCAACTCGTCCATCATGCCATTCTTCCTGATACTGAGGATAAGTCTACAAATGCTTTTAACTATGGAGGGACTAGATCTTTTAACGTCATTTGATGTCAACTTAGAAACCATACAAGTCAATTAAATTCTGATCTTTTTATAGACCACCTTACTAATAGCCCATCCTGTATATGTGGCAACCATGACGAAGATGCGGATCACTTTTTTCTATACTGCCCTAGGTATATAATCCAAAGACAAAACCTATTAGATTCCTTGTCTCATTCGCAGTTTAACATTCAACTAAACCTACATTTAAATTTCGGCTTAAACCTGATTGAACATTTAGTAAATAATATAAATATACTAACTAGGGGAAGTAACCACCGTAGTCATGATCCTAATTCTGCTATTTGTGTCTGTGTTCAGAATAATATTGAGTCTACTAACAGATTTTGAAATTATCAATGATTGGATAAGCACACAGTGATGGTGTGTATGGACATTTTAGTGCTGCCAAGTTATAATTGTTATCTGGAGTAGGAGTGGTGATGGAGGACTAGTTGGTGTTACAAATTATTCAACTAATAATATTTAATATTTACTGTATTGAATGGAGGTTCCCGTTTTTGATATTAATATATGTTCTAAAATTTATAAAATTTGATTATTTACAAATGGCTTTCCATTTTGAAATATATTTCATATATACTGGTTACTATGTAAAGAAAAAATAACAAAAAAACAACTGTATGTGTTTCACCTCAGTAATTTTATTGTTTTTACTTTTTACTTTTGCTTAGTTCAGAGATAGATAGAGACTATTAATTATTCAGTATTAAGTACTATTTAATGGTCCAAGTCAGTGCTAATATGTTGATGTCTAAATTATAATGATGTAATTGTTTGAAATGTATGTAACCCAAGGGAGAGGGCTTGTATAGGCATAGCCTGTTGCCCAATTCCCATTAAATCATTTGACTAAATAAAGTATAGTACAGAAGATGCGCCGATGGACATAGACTTCCGAAGATCGAAACTTTACGTAAAGTGGGGAATAGTCAAAGGGGACGGCACTGCACTGGCATCACAGGAAAAGACAGGGATCATCAACCGCTAAAGAGAATGTGGTCTAAGATGTGCACCTACATGAACGGTAAGTAAGCGTCGCTAAACACGAGTAATTACCCATGGAAGGCACATGTATTCACCACACCTGTGCCTTTCCAGTTTTCGTTTTATGGTGTCAATCACAAGTTAACAAACAATGGTACATTTCCAATATAAATCACAATTCAACAGTGATTCCGGATTAATATTTTTTGCATTTTGCATTTTGAGATGACGACGAAGGCATGCGAGTGACTTGCATGTCATAGGCCACCTACGACAACTGACAAAACCCCGTTTCTCTTGATTATCATCATGGCAACCCTTTCAAGCGCATACAATACAACTTATTGCACATTGGTGTTTAGTTTGGTAAGCTATCACACAATTTTCGTCAAAAAAACCCTTGAATATTCGAAATGGCATGAAAATGAGTATCATTTATAAAGTAAATGTATATCCTTTGCTTCTGACTGTCTTCATGGGGTACCCTGTAGAATTGGTTCCTGGAAGCAGAAACAACCAAAACATCTACATTAAAATACTCTTCAAACACTTGTATGTCATTCAGAACAAGCTTTCTATTGTTCACAGCAAATCTCATGTTTATCAAAAGTCAAATATTTCGCAGTTGCTTGGAGTACCAGTAAGGACAGGTTTTATACTTCAAAATCAACTCTTTTAGAGATATTCTGGAATCATTATCATATTGGGTCAGTTTTGCTATTCTTTCAACATTATTTGCACTAAGGGATGCCATGACGATCGCTCTTGACAAACAAGAATTGTCGGTATTAATAATTTCTGTTATAGATCGTTTCCGTTTAACAGAATTAGTATCCCCTGAAAGAGGTGTTATGGATTGCCCCCTCTCTCCCTGTTCGGAACTTTTTCGACATGTTCGATGACGTCACGGCCATTGAGTCTGTCGAGAGGTCTAAGGGGCACCACAATGGGATCGACCAATCCATTGTATTGGATTAAATGCCTTCCCATGTCCGACCCCTGAAGACCTTCGGTAGCCTTAGCAATTAACGTCATCAAACATACTCTCTCATTTTTCGTACATATCTGATAATCTTTTCCCATCTTTACTATTTCAAAATCTTACCTCATAATGGATATCTTTAACCAAATTTTAAATTTACTGGGTACTGGCGACTGGATTTGACTACGTGCTGGTACTGGAGATTGTTGACGAGGTGACTGCACATGATAGTGACCGGGAACCGGTGACTGGCAACTGTTAACTGTAGGCCCCAGAAAGAAGCGTTTCCTCTTCGGAGGTGGCTGACCAGAACTGCTGGTGTCTCTTATGTCGTAGTGTGACTTCTCGTGGCGACAGTATACATCGTACTCAATGAAATGTCCCCAGTGGCAAAAGGAACAACCATATTCCCTTTGTACCCCGTTCATGAAGTCCAAATCAAAATGCATGTTATCATGCTCCCTGTAATCTTCGTAAGATTTAAATTTGTCTAGCGCACACCATGAGTAGAGGAAATTGGAAGTGGTCATCTGCAAAAATAAAAAAAAAGTTTGTCTTCTTTAAGCATTTTGTATGTAAGGGGAAGTAATTAGATGGTTGAACATGATATCGGTACGCATATGGTACCAAACACGTGTAACTGTGTGTGTGTGTGTGTGTGTGTGTGTGTGTTATCGTTAATTTGTAAATATGAATAGGATTATATTAACTTCCCCAACTCACTCACTCCTCCAGTCAGAGGTCACATTCCATTCCACTACACTGTAAATAAATCTGTTGATCATTTGGTTTGGGGGGCGGGGGGGGGGGGGGGG